TTTTGTGATATGAAGTATCAGTTTGAACTAATACAGATGTGTACCAGGTCCTACATCGCTTGTGCATGATTGTTAGCTTAAAAAATAATTTAATTTGTCATTGAAATTCTAGCCTAACATATGGGAAGACATTTCGTCTCTTTGAGTTAAAAGAATACATTTTTTTGAAAACTAACAATGTTATTTCTTCACTAACAATGTAAACAATGAAATTTAATAATAATAATAAGTGATAATGTATTTATGCATTGACTAGGACTGTTAGCTAAAATAAGCAACAAGTGTGAATCTTCATTAACAAAAGAACAATTAAGTTAACGATGTTTATGTATATTTCTAACAGACAATACAATTACATTAGCTATTTAAAGAGAAGTAATTGGATTTATTTATTACTCTAAACATATAGGTCTAAGAAATATTTCTATGCAACATCATTCATCACATTAATATCTAATAGTTTGTTATATATGATCTAATAAGCGAATGGGAATTAAAAAACTTTAACAAAAGTAGTAGATCTGAAACTAATTACTATCAACACCATGATAACTAAGGTCTTAGTGTCACTGGAAGCCTATCAGAATATGATTATTTAAATGGCTTTTTAAGTTGAATCATATTGCAAGTTTTGAGATAATGACATTCAGAAGCAGATTGTACTGTTCTGTTGAGGCATTAAATATCAATCAGATATTTGGTTTTAAATACACTGAAATCCAGTTATTAATTAAATTCATATGAAAATACAAATGCTGTTAGTTATTTCTGAATAACATCAGCACTACTAAATGAATGTGTAAAATGTGGAATTCTATAAAAAACTTTTATTAATATTGGAAATATTCAAAGTAATGAAATGGAACATCATGGTTATTAGAGTACACTATGACATATACAATACTTTAAATCCATTGGTTTTAAATATCACTTATTATATTTATGATTATTATATGCGAGTTTGTTATCGGAAACCCCAATTATGCATAAGTTTTATTTGTTATTTTCAGTTGTTTTAGGATGAAGACACATACCTGACAGTACATGGTATAATTAGACAATAAATTTAATGATAGACGCGGTTCAGAAACAATCAGTGAAACTGATTAGTAGTAGAGAAAGAGAATAATATCAAAATAATCTATGAATATTGTTACTATAAGTGATTTATGAAGATTCTTAAATGTCATAGTATATATCACGGATTACTTTTAATAATACAACTTTTAAAAACCAGGGAGCATTGTGATATATTTTTCAGTATCCAATTTTGATAATGATACACAATCGTTTATACGCTCCCAACTCAGCTATTGAGATGAGAATTAAGCTTTTTATTGGTCAAACGAAGCAAAATAACTGTACACACATTCACACATAAGTATACAAACATCATTTGTACCCTAGAAATTTAAACCATATTTATCCACCGTTAGTGCGAAATCTTGGTCAATCGCATAGGCTTATCATTTGTTCGATGTCTGATTGGTCTATTGTATTACATTGGACCTGTATATGAAACTCCTCAGCAGTGACCATTCACCTCTTATCAGGGATTGAACCCAATACCTTCAAATCTTTAGACGAGCGTTTAAGTTTTAGACCACTAAGCGAACATCCAATGGGTTACATTTCTACGTCCAGTCAACTCGTGAAATCAAGCGACTTCCAAAACCATTGATGAGTAACTGTCATACGCTCAACATGTGTGAACTTCACTGGCCACAAGAACGCCTGGAATCACCTCGCAATATCAGTCATTAGTACATTAGTATAATTATGAGGAGTTTTTGATGATTGCGAAATTCGATGATTACAAAATCTGAAAAATTAAAAGGATCATGTAAACATATTCATCGTGTAATTTTTCTAGATTAGTGAACTAATAAAAGTCAGGTGACATACTGAAAATGAATAATTTTTTACAATTAAAATTAGGACTCAGCACATAAAATCAACTAAAACAAAATCATACTTGAGTGATTCTACTAATTGAATACACTAATGGACGAAGAAGCAGTGTTTCTATAAGGTATAATCATAAAATAAACAATAAACATATGTGTATTAAAAGAATTATCAAATTAAATTCAAGGATATCATAGAATTTCATCCAGCCTTTTTAGAATATTACATATATGTGATTTAAGCTAGAAGTTGGTAGAACTGGAAATCAATCATATCCTGAAATCCAAGTTTAACATTTTTATAACATAGGAAGTAATAGTGATAAATAATTTATGCATAACTGGCAATACATTTGTTATAAAGTAATATTTTATTCACAGTTTATATTATTTAAAATCAAACATAGGCATTTTCTGGACTCAGATCGAGAACATATTACGTTCAACTGAATATCATCACCTTCGATACACAAAACTTCTTACGTAAAAAAAACTGGTGTACATACTATTCAGTTATGTTATGACGAAGTTTTGGGTCATTTGAAAAGAATTTTTAACGAGAAAAGTTGACGTTTCAAATATGCGTATCTAATAAACAGGATCTTGGGGATTAATACAAGCGCTTAACACAGAGAATGTAAAATATTCATTATATTATTGTATCATATTACAGATCAGGTTATTCTATATGACTTAATTGACTATTTAGCCAGAATCATAGATAATAATGGCACTAATTTCAGCTATTGAGTTAACTGGAGTAAGGTAGATGGAGCTATGTCATTAGTTGTTTAAGAAGTGAACTAATAACTATTATTTTTTAAGTTTAAACCACAATTTAATTTCATTTGTTTAAGCACTTGGATACCGCCTTATTTTCAGTGTTTCTAAATTTTGGAATCCTTTATCTCAACCATGATATTTTATAATGCTAGTTTTTGAAATGACAAATTGTTAATTTACAATCTCGAGTCGCTAGGCTCTTGTTGCCATGTAGGTACTTCAGTGGTTCCGTGGATATTATTTTTGATATTATCTTGACATAACTATGTAGCAGTTAATACCAGTAGAATTCAGGAAAAAGGTTTTTACATTTTCGGCTCATCAACCCCAATGAATGGTGGTGTCGGACGAGATGAATATTCTAAGTTATTTCGCTAGCCGAAACGTGTATACATAAACACAATGACCTTGCAATTCAATCACAGAAATTTCCATGCACCATTCACAACCGATATATGTCGAATAAGTTGGCAATTAAGATAACATTTTAGCGTGGAATTGTGTGTGCTGGATTCGAGGTCTGACTGAGACACAATTATGAATTCAGTCCACAGACATCAAATGGTACGTTGTTTGTCGCCAAGAATCTACCACTGATCACTCACTATCAAAGAACCACACAGCTACTAGTTCCCTTTGTTTCTTTCTAAAGCAAATAGAGACAATCTCTGGTTGGTAACACCATTTTTCTGTTTTCATATAGGATATATAGTTAAAACTCGTCAGCATGAAAATGAAAATGTCAAACAATGAATAAATACAATCCAATAAATGGAGGCAAACAAAATAGACCGACTATTCACTTAATTTATTCAATCGTTATAGGTAATACTGATTTTGTAAATGGGATTCGCAGCCATGTTGCACTTTGTACGCAAAGCACACTAAACATAAAAAGGAACTACAATATAACCATATATGTAGTGAAAACGTGATAAATCATACATACAACTACTAAATTGATGTGAACTTATCTACTTCGATAATATCAATATTTATACAATTTACGTGGAAAACATTTTCAACGAAAACTTATACTGTGACGTAGTACAGTTTATGTTTAAATCCTTATAGAACTATTATTTGAATAATAATGATAAACAAATACGGTTGAACACTGGATAAGCTGTTTATATTGTCAGCCAAACAACGAAACTGATCGAAAACAGTCTCGTAGCTAAGAGTGTCATATAATTTATTTAAAACACTAAAACAGATGGGTTTCAATCCAATTTAGACCAAGGGTCTGATTTTCGTTTGACAGACATTAAAACCAATTTTGGATGCTACTGAATGATTTAAACAAAAGCCAATTACTAATCCTCATGGACGAAGATATCTCAGAAGCTGCTCCTAACTTATTGATGCATTCTAAACGATTTAGAATTATTTGGAAGGTGAATTAAGTAAATTTGGTAAAGTCAATTAGCCGTTAAGAATTGAATTAAAGAGCTTTTAGTACTGTGATCAAGATTATAATTTAATTATTTCGGCCTACTTCAGTTCGATTAGTTTACATAAATGAACTACTCACGCACATAAATGCATCACTAACCCACAAAATTAGAAACCTGTCCCTTTTGTATATCCATGACGTAAGAGCACCAGTTATTAACTCCAATACACTAGATTTACAACGGTTTATTCGTGATCATCGTCAGTTTACGTTTGTTCAAAAGTATATGAAGAACTCATGGGTGTCATATTTCAGAAATGATACATGGACGCTAGCTCGAATATTCTAGGTTGATTACGATTATGCTGAATTTTGAAAAGGCAGAACTCGCAACATTGAATTATCAAATATATCCCACCGCAGGTTTATGCACTGTCAGTAATCGGTTATCTGCATAACACAGCATGAAATGCAAGGGATATTATCAGCAAGTCACTGGCCAACATCAAACTCGACTGTTTCTAGTTGGCCAAAGTAGAAATTATTTGTTGTTAGACGCTGCTCTCAACCAAATTAAGAAACAGAAACCGAGTTCCACCACACCTCGGTGAGAATTCCGCTGTTAATATTAGCAACACCATTCAAAACTATGGCTCATATCTTCGGATGTTCTACTCCTTTATTGGACGAATTGAATGAAACAAATAACGGTGAGCTAAAACAAGTAGCGAAGTAAATTGAGTCAAGCTTACGAAAAGTTTAAAACCATAATATCAGTCGTAGAATTGGACTCCACTAAAATGAACTATCTCGCTGTCAGGAATTAGCCAGACATGAGATTTAAAAGTACCTTTGAAAATAAGAGGTTGATTCCCATTCAATAAGATAACATGTTTTGACTATAAATCAGATGTATTTAGAAAGCAAAGGTCTATCTTCTGAATTCAGGAACAAAGTTCTACTCAAGTTTCTCTAGATTAGTCGAGGATAATATACAGAATTTAAGAGAAAACAATAGGACCCCTCAAAAATCCCAAGTTAGTTAAAAAGGATTCTGGGTTTCCAACTCGACAGCGTAACAACAAACCTTCCTCCCTAATGCCTTTTAATAAGTCTGTTATTAATAACAGCAACTCACTAACTAATGAATTTAATAATTACAAATTTCTATAACCTTTAAATTCTGTAGTCCAAAACAAAAGCATTTGTACTTAAGGAATTCAAATCGGAATAGGTACAGCAACACTGACCATGTTACTGAAGCCAGGAAACTTAAATTGCTTCAAACTTTCTTTACCCCCAAAAATTCTGAATAAATAAGGACAAGTGTTTTAAAATATTTCGTACATTTAAAATCAATAATAATGGTTAAATCAATGTGACATTATTTTGAATGAAATAGGGCAATGATTTCCTAAAAGAAAGTTGGACATAAGATTGTCGATGAAAACTTTACGATTATATATTTGACCAGATCGTATTATTAAAACATGATTTTTGAAAAGCCAAAAATAAAGTCATATCCAAATACAAGAGGTCTCTAAAAGCAGTCAAAAGCAGATTTGGAGAAGAGTAATGTAAAGTAAAACCAAGTAGAAAACTTGTCGATATTAACAATTATGAAATGTAAGCATTTATTTGAAACCATTGTTTTAATCCTGGATACAGATTTACAGATATAGTGAGGATAAAAGGTAAGGTATTTGAACAGAATTTTAGTAACAGTTCAGTAAAGAAAGAAATTAACTGAATACAATTGTTTGTACCAAACGTGTGTATGTAGCATACATTGATCGTTTTGTTGATGAATACCACTAAATAAGAAAGAAAACGTAACAATGTAAATCATATCGAGGACTATGTCACTAGAAAGCAAAACTTACAAAATGAGCACTAATACAAGTAACTACCGCGTGAAACACATTAACAAATTAACATTCTAAACAGTTTATTTTGCTCTTTATAATAACACTAGTAACATGCATTGTATGAGATTAAATAGAAGTAAAAAACTATCAAAATTTTTAATGTTATAATTATCAAATGGACAGATTTTGGGAGCGTTCGACTCAAATGCGATACATGCAAGCAAATCAAACGCTGCTACTACTTATACTATGATGTCTACGTGAATGCCACAATTAAGACATCCAATAACTTTGATGCCTGTCAGGAGACAAAATTAATAAGTCAGGGACAAGTTCAGTTACGTTGTGATTTAAATTTTACCACAAAATCCTTGCTAAATAATACCTGGCGCATAAAGTTAGACAATATTGTCCTCAAAGTGCGCCTTTTGGAAATAATCTGTGTAACGTTTATTGTTGTCGATTGATTCCATGACAGCCTAGTATATCAAAATGGAGCGGAGACTGTGATCTTTTAACTGGGGTCATTTTCCAATAACTGGATTACTTGATCGTAAGTTTTGTTATGAAAATGTCACTATTCATTGACTTGTGACTGACGTACAATGCAATCCCCCAACCTATCACGTTTATCTCAATATATTCTAAACAAACCTACCACTTATTCACTCACGCCAGGAATATTTCGGGAAGTAACAATGTGGTAGCGATGTTACAGCTTTTTTCAGCAAGGTAAATAAAGAAGCATGTCTTCGGACAGGTCTCCTTATGATCTAACAGCATTATTCATTTATAATTTATGTATTTATTAAATTATCACATTTAGTAATCCAAAGTAATTAATGCGCTTCAGGTGTATAAATTTAGAAATAGATAAATAATCAAAACAGTAATCTCACCTAGTATTATTATGTGATATGACCGGAACGTCCGGATGCATGTAGAAAACAATTAGTAAGACAATATCCAAAAGAAAAAGACAATCAATTTTATTACAGAGGGGTGAAAAATATTTGACTTGTAAGATGAACTGTAAAGTTGCTTAACAAAATAGATGTAAACATTGTCATGCTCTTAGTAATCATTAGATACCATCACTGAGTTTTTTGTTTCATAATGAAATCCATTAACTTCAGAATGTCCGTTAATCAGTTCCAGATTTGCTAGCTTAGACTGGATTACGTTATCATCAACATATCCATTGGCATTGTTGCAATCAACACCATTCACCTACACAATCAGAAACAGAAATAAAGTAATAAAAACGATAGTTTTATTCAATGTGACATATCCGTATGCTGTATGAAATTTTTGGGACGAAATACGATGAGAGAAATGACAATGTTGTGAGCACACAACACATCGACACTTTTGTACAACGAAAGAAATTACATGAAAAACCAGCAAATTGTAGCTCACAACGGACTATTCTGATTCCATAAATTACATACTTTCACTAAAGATTGACGTATTAAATTATTAGGGGTTTAAGTAACCTGGAAAGGTTTCGTATGCTTTATAGTCCATAATAAGTAATTATAAAAGAATTTTATAGTACAATACAATGCTTGCGGTTTGTTGCGAATCTAGAACTAGCTGGATTGAATTCGAAGGACCATGCCAAGCAATGCCAGGACATACGTCAGAGGATGTAGTTCAATGATACTTTCGTTGTAATCATTGAAGGTTCACTAGTTTTGTGATTAGGCATAAGTAATTGTGATTTATAATACGAAAACTTGGAAAAAAACAAGACAAAACAAAGAAAAAAGATTTACCTCTTCATGTGCATGAACACCATTTACCAGAACATCTTCAGATTTGTCTATACTTTCGTTTACAGGTTCACCATTTACATAAGATTCATTGACACAAGAACTGACATGTGAAATTTCTACCTCGGAGAGTGATTCCTAAAATATAATTCGGAAAATTAATACAAATTTTGTAAAGGAAAAGCATAAATTGGTTTTCTTAAGACATTACTAACTGAACTGGAACAATCAACCAAAATAAAGGGAAACTGGACTACGGTAGAAGTAAATATAGTTTTAATTTAGATTTACTTTCTACAACATTAGTGTAAACAACAAATATTTTGAAATAGAAATAAAATTACCCTTAGGAAGTCGAATGATATTAAAATAATGAAATAGATCTCTTATCACTGAATTTTATTTCACATACACTATGCTGCTGACTGTCAAGAAATCTGAGACAGGAAAAATCAATGTAGGTATTAGATGAATGGTTTAAACTGATGTATAGAAATGATTACTCACTACAAGTAAAACAATACAAAGTTTGGAAATAAAAAGAACAGGTTTTGTGAACAGTTTTCAATTCAGTGTAGCACACTAAATGCAACTTTCCGTAACACATACCAAGTAATACACACAAAGTATCCCAGTATTAGGCTCGCATATTCGTACAATCATATAATATTATTTGATCAAAACTCAACTAAACAATCCTTAACTTCACAAATCGACTATATTTCAAATAATATAAGCTAACAATCACTAGGTGTGGTTTATAGCCTAATACATTGACATGTGATAGTTGAGTTGTATGCGTTTTATTTTACGGTAAACAAAAAATAAATGCACTCACTTGAGTATCATTTTTTGTCTCAGTGTGACTATAATTTTCTTCATACGGTCTCACTTCACAGACTTGGATTTCTTCCAAACGAGTTTGAGTGGCAGAAATGATAACATCTTGAACTAGGTTGTCTGCAACTAGTAGGACAGGACTATCTGAAGTGGGATCCACATTACTATTTGCTGTGCACTCAGGAGATTGTGCTTCAGTTGTGGTAACTTCTTGTTTTTCGTCATTATTAGTATCCTCGGGTTTTTCACAAGTGTTGTCGGTAGAGTGTTTTTTAAGATTAGAGCCTTTTCTGGATATACGTCGTAAAATTCGTGATATCGGGTTTCCTTTCTTGGTCCGTTTTGCATCTTCATTCTGTGGGACGTCTGACTTCGTCACATCGCCGTTTGCCTGTTCATGGTTTTCTTCCGGGGAACACCTCTCTTTGTGACCATTTTCGAGCATAACATCATCTGTGTGCTAGAAATAAAGTAATTCAGTGAAGTACTTTTAATTATTGGTACAAAGCTGGCCGATTGCTGTAGCAAATAAGTATTAAAACAGATCGATGACTTAAAGCAGATAATAAGTGACACTGAAATATGAGTTGCGATTACTGGAAAATTTTAATCGATAGGATAAATTCGCTAATTAAAAGTCAGTGATAAAAAATTTCTACTTGTTATACAAATTTAAATACTAGGTGTAAAATTCAGTACTACTTATTGTCAGAATAGGGACTAAGCAAGCACATTAAGCGACAAAGTTTAGACAAACTGTCCAAAGTAACAATATTAGCAACTACTGTTCATACATTTAATCCCCATAAAGCAGAAAAATTTTGAAGCCTCAAAGACAAGCGTACCTCCGTAATCTCATCTATACAGGGAACATCTGGACCAGCTGTGACAACTCCATTTAAAAGCTAATTGATTAGTAGATGAGAAAACAAGAAAAAAATCACCAGGATATACTAGCGAATTGGTAAAGCAAAGACAAGGACATGCATTTTAAAACTAATTTGTAAGAATATTGTGAAACAGGCTGCATATACTTACTTGAACTGACTGTTCGCTATCCAACGCTTTAACTTGCTCAACAGCATCCTGAAAAAACAGCGGAGAAATATGAACGAGAAATTTAGGGATAATTAAGTTGTATTTAACTGAAAGAGAACATGTAGATTTCGAATGAGATGCAACTTTTCATAATCACTTTTAAGCCATATTTTCGTGTGAGCTAGTGACTAATACTCAGTTGCTTAGACCAAACACGGAGATTAATTGAACCTTGGATCCAATAGTTGGAATTCGATGGCACTATGACTGCAAAACTACAGTAATGTAATCGACAGACGTCTATCGGACAATTCTAAATCCTCGATATCCATGTGCAGTTATTAGGCCACAAATGCATTATACATTGCCTTTTTTTATAAAGGGATCTCAAACTTTTACGAAAATATATTGGGTCCAATTTTTTCAGCAGATCTATGATGAAGCTAAAGAAGACTGACATTGGAATAGCGAAACATAAAATACGATTGCAGCAAAATAGATCCAGCATAGCCGTTAATTGTTTTAGTATCTACTTGGTTGTAATTGAGAATAGCATAACAGTTACGCACTGATCCACATTAATATTGATTGATGAGAGAGCAGGAGAATACCAAGAATTTATCAAGATATTATCAAAGATTACTTGGTTATTTCATACATATTAAAGGGAATCGCCAAAGAGCAATTAAACGCTATCGGTGTTACACAAGCACTAGTAACGTCATTTTGAGTAAAGATGTATTTTACTTAATTATAAGGCATGTTTGGTATGGTAAAAATTTCTGATCTACCATATCATCCAGAAGTGAGAAAAAAATAAGGATGAAACCCACAGATCAGAAGTTTATATGGAGATACGGAAACTACAACATTAGCTTAACCTTAAACTTACTAGAGGTCAATTATGTGAGCGCTGACACAACACATTATTAAATAGGATTACTGACAAGATTATTAGCAACACAGAAAACTGATAGTTGATAACAATTCAAATACCTGTTCCTTTCGTATACTATAATATCAATGTTATTCGTGATACTACTTCAGACGTCAAATACGGAAGTTTCCACACTGCATCAACGCAGAAAGAGACCAAGGGGAAGGACAAGTACAGGCAATTACAGGAAATGAATAAGACATTACGGACAGATAAGATTGAGATAACTTATGGATCTGAGTTACTACAACTGATTTGAAGGCATACCAGTCATTTTTAATGTTTTCACTCCGTACAGGGGAATGTGAACCAAATAAGAATTTGCTTTTCTTAGAAATTACATCGGGTCAAAAAGTGGTGTTTTCGTCAAGCTTGTTACACTATAATGTTAAGCGCATAATTCGATAACATCTGTGAGTAGTCGCAAAGATAACCTTCAAACAAAAACGTTATTTCACTTCTACGGCAAAATTAGAAACATTTGTCTTTTGAAATTTCTACACACAACTAAGTCGTAAAACCCACTAGTGTTCTCTATGGAGATTGTCATCAACTTTCCTCACGTACGTTGATCATAATTAAAACCTTTCAGTTATTTTCTGTATCGCAAGTGATAGTTTGGATCGCTAAATGACAGTTCATACACTCAGAGGACTAGATTTTGGAGCTAAAATGTTGTAAATAAGCTTTAACAGTGGGATGCTCTGTTGAGTATACTTAAATACTGACCAAGTGCTAAATTCCAGATATTACAGTTTATTCTCTGATAAGACTATCATAATAACAGAATATGACTTCGGAACTAAGTTTAAACAATAAGGCCGTACGAAGTTTTGAAAATCAGCAATACATAAGGCTGTTTACGGTAAGACTCATTATTCTGCTCATACATCCCAGAGAATGATAAACCTAAGTGGATAATTTCAAGAAGCTACTAAGTTAGTTTCGTGTTTGTCAAAAAAATGAAACAAAAGACTGTTACTTACAGGTTTACGAAGACTGTCTTCGGTCTTCTCTGCTGTATGAGGTACCACGAACTTGCCTGATCTCCCACCCATATTCCACGTGAAAATCTGCCTGAGCGTAAACTTGCAAATATGTAAATACTTTCCGTGCTAGTCTGCTATGCAATGCGAAAGCCACACTGACCAATAACCTTTATCCGACATCGTTATCACTAGTCTAAAATGACTCAGACTCCTAAGTACAATCTGATTGGTTTAATAGCCAAGGCTTGATTGCTAATCCAACATTAATTTTTTCCATAGTAGGGGGGGCGAGTCTAAACCAATAAGAAAGACGTAAGTATTTGTGACGGTCTGAATCAATGACCTGTTTTCTAATTGTCCAATAAAAGTGAAGGATATTTGAGAGACAGGCTTAGTAATGTTGCTTTGTTCTATCGGCATTATTCTGCTACTAGCCTGGTCTAAAACAGGACAGGGGTAGAACAAACAGTCATAAATAAAGTTGAACCCGAGTGAGACACGTCATTCTTGAACCATCTGACCAGTTGGCTCTAAAATATATATCCAACTCCTCAGTTGTGAAGTGGGTAAGTGTGTCATAAGTAGTCGCTCTTTAAGTTATTACGTGTCTTGATTCACACTTCGTGACTAGAACTTCCTAAAACCACCAGTGTTTTACGAGTGGGACTTGTCTCCGTGATTAACTTGCTTGCTGCAATGCAAAACTTATCTATAGCTCTCCCGTCTTATCAGACTTCACCAAAAGATTAATATTAAGTGTCTAATGTTTTAAAAATTACTTCGTGGTACACGTTTATCGTATGTGCACCTCAATGTGAAATTCAATCGAAACTCCTGAGTACTGAAACGAAACTGCGGAATCCGTACTTCACTCCTTCCATGAGTATCCTTGATGTCTGTTCGTAAGATTTCGACTAGTTTGCACTTCTCATGAGCTTAGGGTCTTGTTGGTTAAACTAGCAATATAAACTCGAAACTCAAATTGCGAATGCCTACGATTTCCGAAGTCGCGCATTAAATATCACTAGAAATAATTAGTTATATTCATAGTACTGTTGTGGGCTAGAATGGCCCAAATAGTCAAATCGGATCAGATTATTAACACGCATCTAGGAGTATGTGGTGGACTTCTAAGGGATCACACAGAATTGTATAATATTCAGTCTGACCATACAAAAAGCGCTGAGTTGTGGGTTAGTTTAGTTTGTGAGGAAAAAGAACTAGGTGGAAACCAATCAAGATTTAACTATTCAAGCACTGCGGGAGTTTATTTTATTTTATTTATTTATTTGAACACATAAATATTGGTACAAGAGAGCGCCAATATATATGCGCCACACAAAACAATGAGAATTCGAAGAGAAGTAGAAAAAAAAACTAAGGAGCGCAAAAGGAAAAGAGAACAATGACGAAGAGATTGCAGTAAGGTAGTGTGGTAGTAATGAGGAAACGAAAAGGTACAATCAGAAGAAATCTTTCAGGTAAAGGAGACACAACCACTTTTTATGAAGAAAGTAAAAGAAGGTTACAGCAGGATCGCCACTGGCTTCTATTCTCAGCCATATCTGATAACGTCTCTAGCCACTGTGTAGCACCATCTCTCGGACCCCAACCAGGGAGTCGTGAAGGACCAACACAAGCCAGTCCTTTGCAGCTTTCTTTCATGCCACGACACCATGTCATGCACTGACCACCTCTCCGCTTCTTCCAACCAGTCCCAGAGTCGGCAAATAATGCACGACGAGGAATTCTCTGGGACGACATTCGGAGAACATGTCCAAGCCACCGAAGTCGGTGTTTCAAGATGGTGACACCAATTGAATTATCATCTCTGTGCCCGAACACACGATGCCGAACCTCTGCATTACTGACATGGTGTTGCCACTGAATGTCAGCAATCCTTCGGAGACAGCGATGATCGAACACAGAAAGTCGTCTAACGTCCTCAACTCGGAGAGGCCAGGTTTCACAAGCATAGAGCAAAACTGCTCTCACCGACGCGTTGTAGATCCGGCCTTTTACAGCCAGACTAACATCACGAAGGCGCCAAAGATGGCCCAGATTAGCATAAGCCACTCTGGCTTTCACTATACATGCATTGATCTCATCCTCACACCGCCACCAGCACTTATGCAGCTACCCAGATACACGAACTTCTCAACTACATCTATCTGCTCACCATCCAGGGTGAGTACAGGATTGGAATCCTGCCAGTCTTGTAGGAGTACTTTGCACTTCGAAGGTGCAAAGCACATACCATACCTACGGACACTGATTGCCAACTGATTAAGTGCGGATTGCATGCCTTGGGCATTATCGCACAGTAAGACAATATCGTCCGCATACTCAAGGTCGAGAAGTCTTTCTCCAGGCAACAGATCCACATCACCATTACTTACATTCATCAGAGCTGTTTCCAGAATGTCATCGATGGCAAAGTTGAAGAGGAATGGTGAACCTGGGCAACCCTGCCTAACCCCACTGCTCGAATGGAACAATGGAGAGAGGTGGTTGTATGCCCTCACTCTGCCTGAGGTGTTTTTATATAGGGCTTTCAGGATGTTAATAAACTTCTCAGGCACACCCTTCTTCAATAGACAATCCCAGAGAACAGTCCTATCCAACGAATCGAAGGCAGCCCTGATGTCAAGAAACACTACGATTGTTGGCCTTTGATTAGTATGGCGGTGTTCTAATATTTGGCGGAGGGTGAAGATATGATCAATACATCCTCGACCAGAACGAAACCCAGCCTGCTCCTCGCGAGTCAATCTTTCTCGGGTTTTGAACAACCTACGAAGAATGACGGAAGCCAATAGCTTGGACGCAATCGGAAGTAGACTTATCCCCCGATAGTTGTTACAAGAACGACGTGAACCCTTTTTAAAGATAGGGACAACTATCGACTCATTCCATGACGTTGGTACACTCTCTAGTTCCCAAACCTTTGTAAACAACGTCGTCAATTCCTTAATCAAAAAGTCACCACCATCTTTAAAAAGAGCTGGAGGTAAGTCATCTGGGCCAGGTGATTTGTAACGCTTCAAGAGTTGGAGTTCCTTGCGGACTTCCTCCTCATTTGGTGGATCAGTCGTCACCGGCCATGGAGGGCAGGACAGTCTGACCGATGTTGCCGGAGCAGCAGGCCAGTTGAACTGCCCTTCGAAAAATTCTGCCCATCGTCCAAGACGTCGATGGATGTTAGTGATTGGCATCCCATCATCCTCGCAGATTGTTTCACTCACACCAGACTTCTTGCTGCCAGTGGCTCGGATGAGTTGGAAGAGCTTCCGGTAGTTACCAGATGCAGCTGCTGCTTCCAGCTCATTAGCACGCATCGACCACCAGGCTTCTCTGTCCTTACGCAAGCTTTGCCCAATTACCTTACGTAACATCCTTCGTTTATGGTCAAACTCACGGTCACCCGGAGTAGACCGACGGGCTTCAATGAGTTGTAAGGAACCAGAAGAAACCCAGTGCTTAAAAGCGGGACGTTTCGCAAACCCACAACTGACTGTTCCCGCCATTTTCATGGCGTCATGCAATTGCAACCAATGCTCATCTATACTTTTCGGTGGAGTGGTAGCTAGCCTAGAGGCTAGCTCGGTTCGATACTTACTTGCAACAGAAGTTGCAACCAGCTTGCTAACATCAATCTTTTGGTGGTGGTCACTTCGTTGGCCACTGAAAAGTAAGGCAAGATTGGCGCAGACCAAGGCATGGTCAGAGTCCAGATAGGTACTCCAAAAGGAGCGGCAGTCTTGTACACAACCACGCCAGCGGCAGCTGATCGCGATGTGATCAATCTGAGTCCAGGCTTGAGATGCAGAGGGAGGACGCCAGGTGGCACATCGGCGATGACTGTGCCGGAAGTTAGTGCTAGCCAGAAACAGGTTGTGGTCTGTGCAAAGTTGCAGTAGACGGTCCACGTTATCTGTTCTGCGACCACCGAGTCCACATCGGCCGCCTAAACGACTCTCTTCTGTGCCTAGACGCCCGACCTGAGCATTCAAGTCTCCGGCTAGTACTACAATATTTGTCGAACGCACTTTCTGGAGAAGAACTGATAACTGGTGGTAAAACTCATCCTTGATTGCATCCGGGCTGCAATCTGTCGGGGCATAGGCGGAGATGACGAAAAGACATCGTTTCTCACGCCGATTTCTTCTCACTTTGATGGAACTTTCTAATCTAACAGCACATAACCGACTGTTAATGGGGATCCAATCGACTAAAGCTGCCTCAGCTCTAGCGCTTAGTGAGACAACAACGCCAGCAAGACCAGACGAAGATGCCACAGGGTCCCCGGATAAGCGCACGTAAAACAAGCTTTTCGAAGCGACAGATGGAGATCGAATTTGTAGTACTTCGCCAGAGTCTTGAATACGGGTCTCGGATAGACAACACACGTCGATATTAAGACTTTCCAAAGACATAGCCAGCCCTATCTGTTGTCCGACCTGCATAAATGTGCGAACGTTGAAGGCAGCCAGTTTGAATGGTGCACGTGGTTTCATAAAAAACTGCTTCAGTCCTCGTATTCGGTGGTAACATACAATTTTCAACCGGACAGTGACTCGAGGACGTTTAGATACAGTCGGATTTCCACCAAAGACGAGCCGCTGTATAAGTATAAAAGAGGGTGAATAATGTGGAAAATAATAATAATAATGATAATAATAACAATAATGACAATAATAGTAGTAATAATAATATTAGTATTATTAATGACAATAATTGTAATGATAATAATCTGAATCAATTGTTTGTTTTTCAAAGCGAGAAATGTAATTTCCATAGGCATAAAGAGTTCATCAATTTGTGTGCGGGCTGTGATACTGCCCGGGTGCCCAAACCGAAGCAGGTGGTTATCTTAAGGGGCCACTCCCCGAGCCTTTGACCTAAAGGTCTAACCCACAAGGCAGTGGAGCATCGTAAGGAGATGCAGTCCCATGGTAGCCGGTGACCAACGATTGGTTCATACGCCATTTGTTCCCGCAGGATACTGGAGCCCATGTGCACCATTGATTTGGAATCCGGTTAAAGCGCCGGACATTCGCTTTTCGTCCTCTCATTTTCGTAAACAACCCCCCCGCCACGAGAAGGCAATGAGTAGGACTTCCCTGGCAGAGGCTGTATACGCGTGGCCGTGTGAGAGTATTTCGAGAGGGAGAGCGGACTCTCCCCACTCTCGGCCGTACCAGGGCATTCAGGGGGGCGGGAGTTGTAAAAAGAATTCTCCCAGTGATATAACAATGGATTCGTATGTGCAGTTAGAATAAAATTCCCTACATGACAAAGACTAGTTACATCTAGAGACTA